AACATCCCAGGTAACATTACTTTTATGCCCCTGAGGTCGCTGCTGCTTCGTTTGGACTAAAATAAGCTGGCAACTCTAGATTGTTGTGAATAAACCTACTCAATCAGGTATGGTTTAATTTTTTTTTTTAATTTGGTGCAACTGGCTGGTCAAAGTTGATTTTAATCGGACGTCCCAGGGTTCAAAAAATCTGAATCTACCCTCTGTGCTCTGATAGAAAACTTGCAAGCCAAGTAGCAGCTGCAGGTGTTTGTATTCAAGCCTTGGCATGCAATAAAGAGTTGGAATTGAGGTGTGTGTGACTTAAAGCTGCTTGTAGAGTTTTTCCTTTAAGATGTGGAGTCTGCATCCTTCAGCTCTTTCCAGTAGACCAAAACAACAATCTCCACCAAATCTGATTTAACTGGAAATGAAGTTTTTATACATTTTTAGTTGCCAAAGTTTTCCCCAAAATATGTTAAATGTTGTCCACAAATGTAATTTGGCAAATTAAATCAACCTTACAAATACATTTGTTTACAGTCTTTTCTGTTGAGCAAATTCACAAATGTTCTGATTTAATTGAGCAGAGCTTTTGTTATTTCTGTCGAACTGAAAGGACAAGTTTGCCTTGAATGGCTTTTGGAAAAGTGGCCATTTACAGAAGAGAATAGATGATAATGAGGCCTCTTCAGAACAAAACACAGGACCAAACTGCTAACTAGTGAACTGAAAACAAAATAAAGGGTTAAAGCACAAGGTGTAAAGGAAGGCTTTGTGTGCTGGAACAGACTGTTGATGTCGCTGTTAGCGCTCTCTGTGCTTTTAAATAGGCTACATTGCTCCAGTTTTCACAGCGCATACTGTTAATTCATGAAATCTAAACTGCAGTTAAAATGTAAATGTGCTTACGAGTAGTTTATGAGTAGTGTGTGTAAATTTGAAGAAATTCTTAGAGTTTTGTCATTTATATAAGGTTAAAAAAATCAGGAAAACAACAACAACTGTTGAAATAAGTCAAAGTGTAAACTGTGATGTAACTGTGAAGCATCCTTGACTGTTTTCTGGTCTTGTTGGTGCACAAACCTCTTTCGTGGTCTCTGATGGATTTTCCTGTGTGATGTTTAAGGTCAAAAATGGTCTCTGAAGCTTAGAAAGGAAGCTTGTGGTCAAAAATACCACAGAGAAGTGCCTTGAGCAACTCCAGGCCCAATAAAGTTAACGCTGTTTCAAACTGTATGAGTGGGTGGAGTTTGGTGAAATTCAGGCTCTTGCTTTGTGGGGGGTTGCCAGTTGGGGGGAAGGTGAGGCATCAAGCTGCCTTTACCTTTGTTTAGAGACACAGAGGGGGCTCTGTCCCCTCACAATGGAACTGAGAGATCAGTGTGTGTCCTCTGTGTGCGCGTCTGTGTGGGAGGGGTTGTGCTTGCAGCCACACCCAGGCTGATTGGCCGAGGCCCCACCTCGCTGTGGAATCCGCTGGGGCTGGGTCACATGCCAGCCTGAAACACACCACCATGGCCTTAGAGTCTCTGTTTGCCCTGATAGGCTGAAAAAAAAAACCCAGGAGAACATCAAGTGATGATGTAATTGTTACTGTCCTGTGTGGCAGAGCGCAAATGTGTCCGATTCTCAGCACACTTCAACAAGTTACGTGTCAGAAAAATATTTGAATTCTGAAGAATTCAGTGGCGTAATGCTTAAAATACCGACGCTCACTGCATTCGATAATGTAAAATATTCTCTCTGCTATGCTGACATAACGTATGATGGATTGTTTTAGGTTATGTGCTGGTGAGTGTGCTCTCCAGCGTTGTCATTAAGTCCTGCTGGCAGTTTAACTTGTTAATTATTTACCAGACTGAGAGAAACTTCTCCTCACTGTGAAAACAACCACAACAATGCTGTTAATACTTAATTATTTTGCTTAAATAATATATCAAACCTTTTATTTTGACATTTTTGCCCTGCTTCTTCTGATATTATTTCATATCTCTCCTGCTGCTACCAGCTGTTATCTTTTCTTATTTAGATTGGCTTCACTGGGCTTTACATAGACAGCTAACCCTGCGCTGTGCAGCACACAGCATTGCGTTTCCCATTAAACAGCTGGGCGTGCGGCGGGGTCGCCGCTGCAGACAGGAAGTCGAGAACTTGTTTATCTATTTCAGCATTTCTCGCACCGTGAGAATTTTACATAAAGAAGCGCAACTGGAATAATCTTGCTATCACTTCCCGTTTCTGTTCTTTTTAATGCGTGGGTTTTCAGTGTTTCGATGGTGGATTTTCACACTAGGAAAGCACATGCACGTCAAGCCTTTTTAGCTGGTGTTTTTAATACGTCTTTTGAAAGAATGCTGGTGGTTTCTGTTGATGATGTTTGTGTTAGCTATGGGACTTTTCTCAATGTCAGCTGTCTGTGCTGACTCTTGCTCAGATGTGAACAAAAAATATGAAAGAGAGGGGTTTGAATTTCACCCTGATATCGATCGGTTGTTTTCAGTCACCGGCTGGGTTTACATTAAGGTTAACCAGAAGTTGATGTGCTGATCTCACAAAGTCACATTCTGTTTAAAACCACAAAACTGTAAAACAAACTTCTCAAACGTCACCTTTAACCACATACCTGTCAGCATGAGCTGAACTCGAAGAGGAAGAAAAGGAAGTGCGGTAGATTGCTTGATGTACTTCTTTTACAACTTTCGTTTATATAAATATTTGGTCATGACCTGGTGGCTGTGTATTAATAGAAGGATAAAGACAGACACTGAAATATGCCAGTCACATTGTTAGGCACACCTTATTAGAACTGGGTTGGAGATTTTCCTTAGAGATTTTGATCCTTGTTGCTGCACAATCACGAGCTGCACATCCAGGATGTGAATCTCAGGCTCCACCACATCCCAAAGGTGCCCTGTTGGCTTGAGATGTGTTACTGTAGAGGTCATTTGAGTGCATTGAACTCGGTGGTCAACAAACCAGTTTGAGCGATCTGAACTTTGTCACATCGTATGTTATCCCAATGGAAGCAGCCATCAGAAGATGGGTACACTGGGTTATAGGCTGTGCCATTTAAGTGATGCCCAGTTGGTGCTAATGGGCCAAAATGTGCCTCACACCATTACACCACACCATCCTGAACCACTGATACAGTGCAGGTTGGATTTATACTTTCATTTTGCAGCAGAAACGTAAACTCATCATCATTTTTACGATGTCCAGTTTTGGTGAGCCTCAGTTTCCTGGTCTTAGTTGACAGGAGCGGAATCTGGTGTGGTCTTCCGCTGCTTCAGAGATGCTCTTCTGCATACCTTGGTTGTAATGGTTGTTACTTAAGTTATTGTTGCCTTCTTAGGGGCTTGAAGGAGTCTGGCCATTCTCCTCTGACCTCTGACAACAACTAGGCATTTTTAACCCTGAGATTTGCCTCTTGCAGGATGTATTTTTGAGAATTATAGGCACACCTAATAAAGTTACAGATAAATGTGCATTAGTTTAAATTTCCTGCATCCTAAACTTTCTCATTTTGAAGAATATATATAGAGTTAAACAAGGAATATGACATTTATGGTGCCTTAGATGAACTAATTAATTAACTGTTTAAAAATGTTCTTATTTTTAAAGTCAGAAATGATGTCTTAAACCCTTTTCTAATGTGGTAAATGCTGTTTTATATGTAATTGTATTTTTTTCCCCTTCATATTATGTTACACTGTGTTGACTACTAGACTCAACACAGTTGGTTCTTGCTGTTATATTATTTTAGTTTCACTGGCTGCCCAAACCTACTGAAACCTGTTTAAAATGACTGTAAACATATTGTAGGTATAACTGACCTCAGCTCGCTTTGATTTATTCTTATCTGGCTCGTGATGGACAGGAGGGGAAAAAAGTTCTTGTTTTACTGTTTTTGTTTCACTGTCCTTTATGTACAGTCATCATATCAAAAGTAAGACACATTTCAAAATATGACTGTCTCTAAACCTCTTAAAAAATGTAGGTCAAATTATGTTGGATTCCACATCTGTGGACATTTTTGGTACTGCTTGCCAAACTATTTGCAAGTTGGTGGAGAGTTTTATCTGTGGGGACTTGCATAATTCTTAGATAGAGCTCAGAAACTGTCTAAGAAAGGGAAAAAAGGGGAGAAAATTGAGACCAAAAAGAAGAGAAAGGGGTGTGCACATTTCTAAAAGTGTGTGTGTGTGTGTGAGTCCCTCTGCCTTGGCACTCTTCAGCTCGCTCTCTCTCTCTTTCTCTCAGTGTGTGTGTTTGTCTCTCGCTCAGCTTCCAGAAAAGGGTGTGTCTGCCTGCCTGCCGCTGAAAGGGAGGGAGGGGTCAGTTCACGGCTACTCCTCCCTGCTCTCGCTGTTATTTCTCTTTCATTCTCATTCCCTCACTGGCAGCCTGAGGATTAGGCCTTTGTCTCTCTGCCTCCTCTGTCTCTGTCTTTGCCTTTAATTTTCCATCTCTTTCAGACAGAGTGTGAGTTTGTGTGTGTTTTTGTGTTTTTACCCCCTCTTCTGGCAGATTTTTTTGAGAGGAGGTTATCTTTAGCAGGCTTTCAGAGTAGAGGTAATGCTTGTAGTCATGACCTTTTCCCTCCAAACTCTACTAACCCATTTCCTGTCTTACTTCCTGTCCTACCTGGCACTTTTCTCCTCTTCATTCTTTCTCTTATGCTCTCTTGTTTTCTGCTTTCTTGCTTACTGCTTTTTCTCCTCCTGCCCACTTTACTCCTCATACCTTCCTCATACCCTTTAACACAACCCCCTCTCCCTTCACCCCCTCTCCCTGGCCAGGAAGTTTGGACTTTTTTTTCTTACCTTCTTCTCACCCCTCCTCCTCCTCTCTTGTTCTTCTCAATTTCTCCCCACCCCCATTTCATCCCCTTAACGACTCCCTTATCACCTCTTCTCCCCCCTTTCCTGTCTTTGCCGACCTTCTGTACTCCTCTTTTTGTGACCAAACTCACCTTCCTCCTTTTAATGCCATCTATTGTACTTCTTCTTCTTACTCAGTGTCAGTCAACTCCAAAGCAGAAGAAGAGTGCGGTCAGTGCCCGGAAGAGGCTGAGGAGCCCGGCCAAGCAGAGCTCCTTGACCCAGCAAGAACCGCCACCTTCTTCATCACCTCTGCCGCCCACAGTCCAGGAAGAGGAGGAGAAGAAAGAAGAGCCCGCGACCAGGCCACGGCCAACGCAGGGAGAAGAGGAGGAGCTGAAGGAAGTGGCGACACAGTCTGTGAGGGTGAAAGAGGAAGAAAAGAAAGCAGAGGAGGAGGGCGAGAAAGACATGCCCTCTGTACAGATCAAACCAGAGCCAGAGGAGATGGAGTGCACGGTGAGGAGGGGGAGACGGGGAGTTCGGTGGAAGAGATTGGTTGATTGATTGGAGGGGAATGGGGTTAAAGAGGCAGAACGCTAGATGTGTGGCTAGATGGATGGAGGTGAGGAAAATGGACGTGTGCAGGTGGGGCTGGGAGTCGCTTCTGCGATGATCAAATGTGTTTGATTATGTCGATTTCACAACGAAAACACACACACACACACACCGCGGTCAAATCACACAGACAGCAAAGGTTACTTCAGTTACTTACCTGGCTTAAAAAGAAAGCTTTAAATCATGTCACGCGTAATGAACAGAGTATCAGTTAATATTGCAATATTGACACAAACTTCTCAAATACCGCCTTAAAAAATGTATCAAAATTCACGTTTTCCCAATACTCGAGAATCGGCAGCAGACAAGGAAGCAATATGCATACCAGAGCAATCAGCTGGATCTCTCAGATGTCAGCTTCCCGCCTGAGTATTACAAAGTGATTACAAAGAATTTGAGAAGCAGGCAGATAACATGACTAGGCACTTTTTTACTCTATTAAATTACATATCCTTCCACTTATGCAGATTACGTTAGGTCAGATCCTTCTTGTGATCCGGTGCCCTCTCGCTGGTCTAGGCTGTAAAGTGGAAAATGAACCTACTGGTGCTCCCTCAGAGATCCACCTAAACCAGCGCTGCTCAGCTCTTCTGTCTGTGCATCATGATTGGCGGTTTAGCAGCTTGATGGCGCTATTTTAATTCAGTACAGCGTTCAACAGATTTTGAGGTTTGCAACTTTTACTCTGAAAGCCCCGGACCTTAAAGAAAAAGACTGGTTTATCAGAGATTGCATCTTATTTTGATAGTTTTGCACATGCTTCCTGTCTGTAACAGTGATCCCCGTTTGAATTGCAAAATGTGACACCGTGACGTCATTTAAGTATCAGAACAAAGTGAGCCGATAATCACAGGTCATGCTGTTTAGGAGGGAAACATTCCCCCCCGGGCGACATCAATCACAGTTAACCATTCCCTGTTCCCTGTGCGGCGTGTGCACGTACCAATTTTACCTGTGCCAGTGTTATTACAGTGATGCTGGCTTACTTTCAGTTTCAGTATACAAATAAAGGAGTTTATATAATTTTTCTGTTTCCTTGTTTGTTTCTCTAGAAAGAAGAGACACATTTGTTTTTATGGTTTTTTGTTTTTTTTAATCTAATTTATGAGTTGAGTTTTAGTAGATCTGCAAATCAAGACCTGATCTGACATAAACTGGCAATCATTGTGTCTTCATTAGAGCAAAAAGGACACAGTTATCCTTCTGCACTGGATTCCCTGGGATATTTCCTGGTAGTGGTTTCTGTCAAGCTAAGGCCTGACAATAATCGTCTTGATTAGGATTCGTGGATGCAAAAACATTGTGTCTATAATAAAGTCCGTGCTGGCGGGAATTTCGATTTTCCTCTGAGCATTATACGCATACGCCTTGTATTATACCGCATACAAGGCACGAGCACGGATTTTTGAAATAACTGTAAATTTACTTTAGGGTTAATTTATGTTATTTCAAGCTTGATATTATGATAATGTAGCTGTTGGCTGGTGCATCAGCTTCACAAATCCAGAAAAACGTCCTTTTCATTTATATGCGTTCACCTGAGCAAATAGATCGTGTACAGGTTGTGCAGTTTAGCAGGAATGTGTGCTCTTTGTGATTGAAAACTTGCACCTGTTTGCCTGTGACAGCAAGCTGTTAGGCTACGTCCACACGTACACGGGTATTTTTGAAAACTGAGATTTTCCGTTTTCGTTTTAAAAAATAATCCCGTCCACATGTAAACGCAGAAATGAAGGAAAACGCTGCTAGGAACATGCCAAAGCAACAGGTGGCGCTATATTCCTAACCGTGTAGAAATGTTGGCCAATCAGAAGTCTAGAAGCCTCGGTGGGAAATAGTAAACAAAGCTGGGGCATAGAAGCAGAACCGAGTCGTATGTGTGGAGGGACAGTAACTGTGTGTATATGTAAGCATTTAAACACTGCAGAGAGTAGAATTAACAGTAACAGTATTGTAGAAATGTAGAATAGGGTGAACACGTTTGCCCAAACCTTATTTAAAAAGAGATCATGTTGCGATTGGATCATGCCAGCTGTCACCCACACATCCTAGCCATTGAGTCAACAGTTCAGCAGTCATTGCTGCATTATTTAAGAAGAAAACTATGAGCACCTGTGTGTGTGTTTGATTTTTATCTCTGTGTCAGACCTGTACCTCTTTTATGAATTCATCTCTTTTCATTTTGTTATTATTGCTACTATTTTGTTTTAAAATGGGAGTAAACTGCCTGTTTTGTGCTTTTTGATAAAAAAAAAATTAGTAATTGTTTCACATGTTTCAAACAAGCTTTGTCAAAAACAGCAGGGTTTGAGTTAAAGCAGCATTACATCAGAGTCAGAATAAGCTTCATTGGATTCTGATCAAGGAATTGGGCTCTTTTGGGTTTTTTCTGTGCTCTCAATGTACTTAACAGATACACACACGGACAATAACAGCATGTATAGTGTATTTATAGGTGCAATGATGCAGTAGTGCACAGTGCTAAGCGTTTCACAGCATGACGTCTGTTCAGTTTCTCAGGCTACGTCCACACTAGCCCGGATAGATTTGAAAACTGCGTTTTCGTCTGAAAACGCTCCGCGTCCACACTAGCGTTTTCAGTCGTTTTCACAGAGTTGCGCGTCCACATTGAAACGGCCCAAAATGCTTACGTTCCAGTCCTGCGCATGCGCAAAAGCGAGTGGGAATTAAAGAATTTTGAGAAAAGCTATCTGGAGCATGTACAAACTGATAATAATCTTTTTTAGAGCTGTCAAAATTGAGAGAAATCAAAACAACTGCTGTATAATGGCCTCCGCTATCTTTTTTTAATTTTTCATGTGACTGCATCACATGACTAAAATGCGTCATCGTTTCAAACGCATCGTTTTTCCTTGAGGAAAATGCCGTCTCAGTGTGGACGGGAAGCCAAAACGGAGAAAGCCTCAGTTATCCAGCGCTGAGTTGAAAGGAGCTGGACTTCCTTTAAGGGTCATGAAGACAAAGAATCCGTCCCTTGACTGGTAGTAAGCTTAACGACTCACAGACCATCGGGTGGGTCAACAACTCTCAGGACTACATCCACAGCCTGAACCCCCACTAGGAGTTAAATACCTGGTGCTCCCCCCATCACCTTTTAGAACTGAAAAAGCACCGCAGATGTGAGATAGGAAACATTTCCTTAACCTAAGAAGTCCAGCTGCCTTCAGTTGAAGCACTTAAGACTTCACTGCGTGACGGGATGAGTTGACGATATAGAGGCGAAGGGAATGAGGGACGTGTAAGAGAACAAATTTGATGCAGGAGTGAGCAGAGAGATGTTTGCGGGATGGGTGAGGTTGAACTGAGCAAGCGTGGTGGTTAATTTTAGGAAGTATGAGGAGGAGGAAGAGTTTGGTATAGTTGTGAGGCTGTTTTAGTTTTCGTGAAATACTAGATGATATCTTGATGCAGTGTTCAGCTATGGTGGTGACCGAGGTGTGGCCTTTCATGTTCTACTACTCTGAAGTCTGGTTGAGGTGCAGCTGAAGGGCGTGTGCGTGGTTGGTGCATTGTTGTGTAGCGCAGCGGTCTCCAACCTTTTTTGCGCCACGGACCGGTTTTTGCCCGACAGTATTTTCACAGACCGGCCTTTAAGGTGTCGCGGATAAATACAACAACATAAAACTAGTACCGGTACCGAAAAAAAGAAAATTTATTCATAACACATGTGAAAAGACCAAGGAAAACCGAGTAAACGATAAAAACGATAACAAAATAACGCTGAAAACCGATAAAAACCCTGAAAACTACACATTTCACACGTGAGCCTCAACTCTCGCGGCCCGGTACCAAACGACTCACGGACCGGTACCGGTACGAGGCCCGGGGGTTGGGGACCTCTGGTGTAGCGTATCCCTGTGCATGACCTCCACGCTCAGACAAAAATTGCCAAGTGGGTCCGATGGCGGAATTTACATCCCCATTGGAGTCACAGAAAACTAAAAACTGCCAAAAACTGTAAAGAAAAATTGCTTATTTTGGTTATTATTTCAGATTAAGATTTGACAAATGGTGGTCGACTCCACTTCCAGGCCAGTGGAAGTGGAGCCTCTCGGGGGACAAACACGGCTTCTCGCAAAGGTTACAGTGAAGCTTTCCGCTTGGCTGACGTGATGGTGGAAGATTAGGCATGGTCTGACATTAGTGGGTAAAGTTTAATGGATGGGTAGAGTTGTAGGAAGTCATTAAACACACTTTGTAAACAAACATTTATTTGCTCTCATGTGGAAAAAGTCTGTTAAGGTTGTTAAGGTTTTGCACTTCAAGCAGCAAATTTCACCTTTTTTAATCCGGAGTGGCTTTTCAGGGAGCGCATCAGCAGAATGAGCTCCGTGAAATGAATAGTGAGGAGGTCAGAGGTCGCAGCCAAGCCAAGTTTTACATGACAAGAGCCTGTGGGATACATACTGACGAAAGTCCTGCTGGAGTTACCCGTGAATTCCCCAGCGGATTTCATTCTCAGGATCAGACTATTTATGGCTGAGCATTTACTAATAAATTAAGCAGCATATATCTGCATCTTCTGTCCTTCTGATTGATGCAGAGGAGTTTGTCTTTTTCTGGTCTTTGCTCAGAAATACACACCAATAGAGATTTTCCCATAGACTGGGAACCAAGAAACTGAGCTGCATTTTGTGCATTTTGTCACATCTTAACTCGTCTCTGTCTTTTTAATATTATTTTAGGCTCATCTAAGTATTTACAGCTTACAGTTGTTCAGGATGGATGGGTGGATACTTTATTCATCCCCTGGAGGAAATTCACAAATTCCAGCAGTATCCACAAACATTTTAGACATAAAATAAATACTAATAAATATTGTAAACATTGTAAAGATTATGAAAATTAGGATTCTGAAAGTAAACAAATCAAAGTTATTT